CCAGTTTGGTTATAGTTAGTTGTAGCATTGTAATCGGTTGTTCATGATTGTAATTGGTTCTGGGGCAAATTATTTCCACACTGTTCCCAAATCAATTGCATCCTGACATTTTGTTTCCTGAGAATACTTGTTGACCCCATTATTCTTAGTCTGGCATGAGCACCTGCAGTTTGAAACTTTTCCATTTACACTCTGCACCACGAGAGCCCCTTCAAAGTTAAATACACCAGTCAGGAATTCAGGAAAAGATCTGGACTGACAATGTAAATTATGGAGTCTTTCATGTATAGATGGTTCCTAATTCTATGATGGAAAAGGAGCTTTGAAATTCAACTAACTGGATTCTTCATTATTAATACAATAAATAAACCACCTGTTCATTCTGTGGTAGTCAATACCAATAATACAAGGGAAGAAATGAAAAAAGTGAAGGCGCTGGATTTATAAATATTCAATCCAAATGGTAGATTGAATTGCTCTGTTCTATCTTTGTGCTTCATAATGTCTTTATATAATTTTTAAATTTCTATTGACCTAAATGCCATGTGTAAAATGAGAATAAAACTAATTACTTATTTGAAAGGGTTATTGTGAGATTCAAATAAATTGGTTTCTATAGAAATTTTCTTTATAATGTTCTAGAAATGTAATGTGTTTATCTTCTACTGCTCTGTGAGCTTCATGACATTGTATCCATTATTGGTTCCATTACACCTAGCATCAAAAACCAAACCAATTATGATTCCAACTCATGGCTACCTTATAGGACAGGATAGAACTTAACAATAGAGTTTCCAAAGGTGCTAATTTTTATGGAAGCAGACTGCTATGCCCTTCACTCACAGAGCAGCTGGTGAGTTCAAAGATCCAACCTTTCATTTAGCAGTTGAGTGCTTAACCACTGTACCATCAGGGCTCCCTTTTCATCTAGCTGCATCTAGCATAAGGAAGATGCTCCTTAATGATTGATTGAATAATCTAGAAAATAAATATGGGAATAATATTAAATTTTTGTTTTGTTTTTGTTGTGGTGGTTGTTTTTGAGAGTTCTGGAGAATAAACCAAAATATCTCAAAGCATTTTGTGGCTTAAAACCTCATGTTAACATAAGGCAAAATTCATCGTAAAGCAAAACAAAAACTCCTTTACAGTTTAATGGAGAAGGTCAGGAAAGAACACATGTAGTAGGCACAGAGGCCAGGTGCAAAAAGATGTAGTTTATATCTGATCTATTTCTTACCCAAGATTCCAGACAGAGAGTTTTAACACTGAAGTGGTATCACTACATAGAAGCAGTGTGATGTTAATTCCTCATCTTCCAGAGTTTTGTAAAAATATTCAGTAGCTCACATCCATAAAGGAAGAAAGTGACTGTTATTAAAGAAAATTAATACTCTTGTTGCATCCTGACATTTTGTTTGTTGTATTTCCCATTAACATCAAATAATTTGAGAACTTTTGAGTATTCACTGTTTTAGCAAATACAATAAGTTTGTCAAGATCAGAAAAGTACAAAACAAAAAAATTCAGATTTTGAAAATAGAATTTTTTTTCTCTTTGAAACCATAACATATAATTTAGCATGTATTTTTGACAAGGCTAAAAACTGCTCTGGAATTACTCATTTACAATGTACTCTTTTAGATAAACATGCATTTTATTAAGCAAAACATGTAAAAAAAAATTAAAACAACGTGGGTAACTTTTTAGATAGGAAAAAAAAAAACAAATTTCCATATACATAATATGTATTATGCTAGTTCAAAATTAGAGGTTTTAATTAAAGTAAATCATTTTTCACATAATATTCCAAATAGCAAGAGTATATTTTAAAGGGGGACTGGAAAGATTTTCTAAGACAATGAAAAAGATTTTGAAAAATAGTGGCTTACTACAACAAATTGCATATTAATAATAAGAAGCTATATGTTCTAAGAGGTCCCTGGGTAGTGCACATGGTCTGCACTTGTCTACCAATCTGAAGGTTGGCAATTTGAACTCATTCAGCACCACTGTGGAAGAAAATTCTGGCAATCTGATTCCATAAAGATTACCACCATGAAAACTGTATGGAGCAGTTCTACTCGGTAAGACATGGGATCATCATGAGTCAGAATTGATTTGAGGAGAACCGGTTTTTGGTTGGTTAGTTTATGGTGTTTTTTGTTTTTGTTTTTGTTTGTTTGTTCTTTGTTTGTTTGGGGTTCTAAATTTAATGTTTTCTATTCAGAGTCCATAGGACTGCAAATTAGTTACACTCTTTATTCAACACTTTCCACATTTGTGAGATAGGGGTAATAAAAATCATAGCCAGAATGCCCACTTGGAATTTGAACAGAGTGACTTAATTTATATATTTATACAGGTGTCTGAAAACTCTAAAGCATTTTACTTTGACATGAATTTGCTATTGCTATTCAGCAATTTCTCATTGTGAAATCAATGCACAAAATATGGTGAGTGAATTTATACATACTTATTTACATAAAATACATCTGGCCTGGAATTTAATATTCTGAAGCTAATGGAAATTTGTCAGTGGCAATTTCTACTTTGCTCAAATCTAATGCAACTTTATGTTAGTACTTTATAATAAAGATATTTATTTATTTTATCCTGACATTAAACATAAGGTTTATGTATCAGAGACAGACTTTTAAGTACAAAAAACTTAGCCAAAGTTTCCTGTGCACCAATCCCCATGGGGTAATGCGTTGAGAGCCAGATGTATCCTTCATATACAGAGGTTTAAACAATAGGAGAGGAACTCTGAAATTACTAATCTCAGCATTTAAGTAGGATATTTGCTACCAAGCCCCACCTGTGTCATCAGAGGAAAGAGATCTTATCTAACTTAAGTAAACATATTTTCTCTTTAAGGAGGAGATGAAGGTCTCTTTGTCCATTAAAATTGGTAATGTTGAAAATGGCCCCAAGGGAGATAAATCTGGAAAAGTTCATGGAATAATTTACTATCTCTAACTTCCAAGGCAAGTTTATCACTCAATAATCCTTTAATCTAGATTGCCAGGTATTTTTGTTCAGAAAGCCTGAAACTTATAGAAAAGTGAAAATATTCATGTGACATTTTCCCCATCACCTTCTGTCAGAATGTTCAATTGAATTTTAGAAGAACCCAAAGATTCTTAGGAAAAATAGTTTAGGAAAAGCTAAAATATAAAGTCATTTATTCAAATATGGATTCTGAGCTCCTTTAAGATGGGGGAAGGGGAAGAAACTGCAAGAGAAGAGGAAAAAGAAAGAGAAAAGGGAAGAAGAAAGAAAAGGGGAAATGGGAATTAGAAAGAGAATCCTATTACTCTACTGAAAAGCAACAGAGGCCAAGAAATGAAATTGAGAGAGTTGTGGGTTAAGACCAAGGACTCTTGGCTCCTAATACACTCCACTCTCCTTCATTAGCCTGAATATTTATTTCTTATTTGCAAATTGGCATCAGAAAAATAATGTTTCAGTAATCCCTGTTTTCAAACATCGTTAAAGTGACAGTTATAAAATCAATTTTACAGTATCAAATAGCATTAACTTATAAATTATTTACCACTTGCATATGCATATGCAGAAAAAAAAATGCAATTTTGAGAATGTCAGTTTAGGCAAGTATATTCTATCATTTAAAAATGTTATCTGAAAAAAGTTTAAGTGAATACTATAAACTGAAAAGTTTAGGCAATTGAATATCTGTTAGAATATCACTCTATATTGCTCTTGGAGGAGCCCTGCTGATGCAGTGGTTAAGTGCTCAGGTGCTAATCAAAAGGTTAGTGGTTCAAACCTACCAGCCTCTCCTTGGGAGAATGGTGTGGTGATAAGCTTACATAAAGATTTATGGCTTTGGAAACCCTGTGGGCAGTTCTACTCTATCCTATAGGGTAGCTATGAGTTGGAATTGACTCCATGGCAGTGAGTTTTTATATTACTCTTGGGTGATTTAAACATTCTTGTACAATAATATTAGAAGATGTGAATACACCTAAAATCCTTATTGTTTTCAAATAAAGTTTGATCAAATGTATTACAAAATTATCAATTATAATTTTTGTTGTTGTTTTAAAAAGGTATCATTGGTGGGGTTACAAATCTTTGGTCTTACCTTTCTTGTCATGAACTCTGGTTATTCTCTTTTTTAGATGTTTGCTAGTCTACAAAAATCTAGGCATCAGCATTGATCATCTTTTTTCTTATCCTAGTTTTTGAGTTATCTTCCAGGAGTTAACAGTATGGAATGTGATGATGGAATTGATTGTATCGCATTCCTATCACATAAATCATTTCTCAGAGGAGATTAAGTTACTATATTGCTTCTGAGTGCTACAACTCATATCTATCTCACTTACTGTAAGTTTTCACCTGATTCTACAAGAGATACAGTTCTAAAAAGAAAAGTATAGAATAAATCTTATTTGTGGCAACAGGAAATCCTTTGAGTCAGGAAATTATTATATGGAATATCAGTTTGCAAAAAAAGAAATTCTTTTGTAATATGTATAATGATTAAATATTCATTTATTTTATAAATATAAATTTCTTAATTCACAACTGGGTTAAGACTGGATAAGCAATCTTTTCTCTCTAGCAAATGCATAAACTCACCATTTTCATGTGTAACCTCATTAACTTCTTAAATTCTCCAAATTCAATTTTTTAAAAAATCTGTCCTTCATTTTATCTAAAAGGAATACAAAATGAGTTTTTCAAATTATGCTTAATGTGTATAATAGATAGGTTCCTACATTATCATGTTTCTATATCAATAATTTGTCTAAATATATTTACATGATATACAATCACAGAAGAATTTAGAATTGTTCATCAAAATTCACTGCAGTATGTCAAGGTTACTGGTACTAACGGTACTACTGGTGATTTAGAATTTAATTAAGTTAAGAACATATTGAAAAATTCCATATTTGTAAGTGATAAAATTCTTCAACTAACAGTAACATTTTTTTTTTCATATTTCCAATTTATATTTCTTTCAGGTGAGCACATTAGACTGGGTACGAGCCGAAAAAATTTATAACCTCTGTGAGGTATTATTTAAAGTTCATAAGGTAGGTATTCTTTGTATTTTAAAAACTTTCATATAAATAAGATATCCATTTGGGTTTAAATGTGAGAGAAATACTTGTTTATGACAGTGCATTGAAGTATTAAAATGGTCTAGAATTCCATCCCACCATCCATTCCAATAAGATCGTTCTGCTGTTAAGAGCTGAGTCAGATGGTGTGTATATTGATGTGTGTGTGTGTTAAGGAGAATATATTTCAGTGGCTTACCATTATGTTTACTCAGAATATCAATTTCTTATTTTTATTGTTGCTCTTGTTTTTAAAAATTCAAAAAAAGATTTGTTTCCTAAAACATTTTCTTATTTAAAATGGTCTGGTGTGATCAGAATAACTAAGCAAATAATTCTATTTCTATTTGAGAAAAAATATCATTAGCTAAGGATGGATAGAGTTTTATCTATAACATTTTTATCAAGACTTCAGAATAATCTGATTTAGTTGGACACTTCCATAGTAATTAACCCACTGCCACATAAATCGATTATAACTGTTCCTACTAGGATAGCACATCATCTTGTAATGCACACTCAATTTTCACAAGGACTGTTGAGTATAAAAGTCAGTCACAGTTTCAGTAGGGAGCATTGTATGTAACTTATGATAGGATGCCATTGGCATGTGTTCACATATTGGAAATAAGGATAACTAGACATTTAAATGCAGATTCTGCAGAATTGATCAAACCAAGTATATGAATTATTTCATTGAGAACTAATCTTAATAGACCTCAGGTTTTGTTGGGAGTTCTTTACAATACAAAATTATGCAAAGCAATATGAATTTTGAACATGTAATGATAAAATATATGAAAAAAAGAAAAAGAGATAAATGTCACTAACTTTGTGACCATAGGCAAGGGATACATTATTGTTTGCCAAATATTCACATCCTTACCACCCAACATTTGGGACAAGTATACTTCCTACCTCATTGTTGTGAATTTTGACCATGTGATTTCTTTTGGCCAATGGGATCACAGATATAGAACAGGCAGAGTCTAACAGTGATGGACTTGTGTGAATAGAGTTACTCTTTTGCATTCCTTCTCCTTGCTATTAGAAAAAATACAGCATTGTTCAGTTCTGGTCCATTGAGGATAAGAATGTCAATCCATCTCATTAAATGTCTTTCTCTTTTATGCTGACCGACCCTCTAGTTTGCTAAGCCTGACATCCTTTTTCAGGGACTGCTCCCTCCTGATAATACATGCAAAATACATATGTGAGATTAAATCTTATTATCTTTGCTTCTAA